TCAATTATTATATACTACGTAAGACCTATCTATGGCAATATTAGATCAATTATTATATACTAGGTAAGACCTATCTATGGCAATATTAGATGAGTTATTATATACTAGGTAAGACCTATCTATGGCAATATTAGATGAGTTATTATATACTAGGTAAGACCTATCTATGGCAATATTAGATCAGTTATTATATACTATTGTTTCTCCACTCTTTACTCTCAGGTTTAATATCTTGAGGCCCACGTGATCGTATCGATATCGGTACTTATATAAAGACGTAAGCAAAACTGGCACACTCCGTTATGTGAACACTACGCACAACGACTTATTAATAGTTTTAGAGAAACAACAAAAACAAGTGGTAAGATGTAATATATTACAAGTAGTGTCAGGAACAGATTAGGACTAAACATCTGTAACAAAAGATACGACAACATCGTATGTCATCTCTCAAACTTAACCAGAAAACGCATTCATTATTGCCTAGTTATCTGCAGAAGCAAGACCAAAAGATTTTATAACGCTCGCAATAAAGTCAATCAGGTTTAGCTAATTAAACTCTAAACTGAAGGAGCCAGCATTATATTTCTAGCTAGAGTTGGTGTTTTTTGTAGTATAAATAAACATCTTACATGATATATCTATATATATAAGAACAAAACATTTTAAGAAGTGATAATTATTCAGCAAACGTTAATTTTACAAATTAGGGAACATTAAATCGTATCAAGTAAATAACAAAGCCGTTTTCTCCTTCAACGTGTCATTTACTCTTTGGCAAGGGGGGACATCCCCTCTTTCTCGGATATCCCCTTAAAATGGAGGCCTCCTACGTACTAGCAAACCTACGAGACTAGTGGGAAAACGAAACGTGATAAAACGAAACGGGCAAGAACATTCTCATTTATGTCGCCGCCTTTTACTGGAAGTCTTGTGGAAATTGCCCTTAACGAGCTGACACTTACAAAAGCTTTAAAGTTAAAATAATAGAAATTGCCCTTAACGAGTTGACACTTACAAAAGCTTTAAAGTTAAAATAATAGAAATTGTTCAGCTTTTATAATTTGTAAAGGATGTACTGTTACTGCTTGACTTTCTAAACGACGTAAAGATATTTTCAAGTGCGTGTGTATATGTTGCAAGATATTAAAAACAAATGGAAATAAGTTTTTCTTCATAACATTCCTAGTTAGTCTGGCTAGTGATTGGTATCCATGTTGTTGTTAAGCTTCCCAGTAACATAGATTAAAATTGATCAATATAATTATAACTCAATCCGTACTGCAAATAACACGTGTTTTCTATTGCGTGACGTTTTTCGATAATCAACATTGAAGTTTCGGTATTTCATGTACTAGCTTTACACGTGACTAAGTATCAAACTTCTTTTACCATGTTACGATTGAAGTGTAATGGCGTTGCACTTGCTCTACAAGTAACTAGGTATCAAATTTCCTTTAACACATTCTTAACACGTTATGATTGAAGTGTAAGGGCGTTGCACTTGCTCTACAATAACTAGGTATCAAATTTCATTTAACACATTCTTAACACGTTACGATTGAAGTGTAATGGCTTTGCACTTGCTCTACAAGTAACTAGGTATCAAACTTCCTTTAACACATTCTTACCACGTTATGATTGAAGTGTAATGGCGTTGCACTTGCTCTACAAGTAACTATGTATCAATCTTCCTTTAACACATTCTTAACATGTTACGATTGAAGTGTAATGGCGTTTGCATCATAAAGATTAACTGTGTATACATCGTCCTAGGTTTGTTCATTTCTCTTGTTTGTAGTTTAATACTTATGTAATAACTGTTCAATGAGCAACGAGTCGGTCACACACTGATGATATTTTACATAGAAGTATTCTATTTCCATTGTAAACACGTTTTTTACTGCAAGATTTATTACTATGATATTAACATTACATGCATATAGTCTATAATATATACTACTGGAACTCCAAACAAGCAACCATAAATATCTTACGAGTTGGTTTCAAACGTGTTTATGCTAGGCAAACCTTCATATAACGATTTACACAGGAATGAAAAGTAAGACTACTACTCACAGTCAAGATTAATAAGCACAGCCAACTTTTTTCCAGGGTTTAGAAAATAGCAGTATTTAGTAGCTATACTATATATTTAAGTAAGGATTGTTGTTGTTTCTGCAGCAGTCAAGCTGTAAAACATTTATTACGTTCTTTATTTAAAAGAAAATAATAGAGAACGGATTTAAGTTACGGAATGATACTCACAGTCAAGATTAATAAGCACAGCCAACTTTTTCCAGGGTTTAGAAAATAGCAGTATTCAGTAGCTATACTATATATTTAAGTAAGGATTGTTGTTGTTTCTGCAGCAGTCAAGCTGTAAAACATTTATTACGTTCTTTATTTAAAAGAAAATAATAGAGAACGGATTTAAGTTACGGAATGATTTTGTGATTACGTACGTTTCATGCTTCTGACGTTTTTCCCCTTTTCTCTTTTGCCTCTAGATGCGGAAGCAAATCCCGATGCTAAGCGCCTCTATGATGATCTTATATCCCCCTATAACAAGCTAGTCAGGCCTGTGCTGAACGTTAGTGAAGCTCTCACTGTAAGGATAAAGCTGAAACTGTCTCAATTAATTGAAGTGGTAAGTTCTTTGAGATGTCCATCAAAGTTGTTTATACGACTGGGAAACTTTTTTTAAAGAAACAATGAAAACAAGCTTAAAAATTAAAGAAGTTTCGAGATAACACAGAATAGCGACCTTAATAAAGTTAAACTTGATAATAATTCTATAAAAGATTATACATGAAAATTTAATTATACCTGAACCATAAACATCGTTTTGATCTCAGAATGTTTATATAGCGGGTTAATCTCGCTTTAAAAAGAACGTGCGAGTTGTGGCATCATGGGTGACATGTTTCCTACAGATATATTTGGTTCACGACAAATTCTCGATCGTTTGAAAGTGCGCAGCCGTCATGGGTAGACTAATGGCTGAAGAAAATAATTAATATTAACTTTCGACCAGAGCAAGTTATACACTGATTGCGAAATTGAAGATCAAACAATACAGCTAATTAAATGTATTTTCTTTACCTTTCTACTTGTAAAGATTAGAATGTATTGTTTCTTCAGTTATGTACGCTTGATGTTAAAGACATTTTCGGTGAAAATCCCAAAAATAAGCCACAGAGAGAATGTTAAACGATGAAGAACCAAAGGACACAGAGTATTTCCCATGAAAGCGGAAAACTTACACAGCATAGGTTTAGAAAAGTATTAACAACACACTCTAAGTCAGCTCTGAACAAGAGCCTTATCCTTAATATAAGGGTTAAGGGTATGAAAGAGGACCCTCCAACCAGATAAGCCATTCAAGTGTAATTCACAAGCTTTCAACAACACTTTGAAACTAGAAGCTGTTTTCATGAAGAAGATGGTCGAAAAACCTGGAGTGACAGTAATGTCATTGAGCCATATTTATGTCAAGTTACCAGAAGCAGTTACACTCTGGTCTTTTTAAACCATTGAACCATATTCATGTCAAGTTACCAGATGCAGCTACAATAGATGCTGGTCTTTTTAAACCATTAAATCATATTCAGTTTAAGTTACCAGATGCAGCTACAATAGACTCTGGTCTTTTTAAACCATTAAACCATATTCATGTCAAATTACCAGATGCAGCTATAATAGACTCTGGTCTTTTTAAATCATTGACCCATAATATTGTCAAGTTACCAGATGCAGCTACAAAAGTTAGACTCTGTTCTTTTTAAACCATTAAATCATATTCATGTCAATTTACCAGACTCAGCTACAAAAGTTAGACTCTGGTCTTTTTAAACCATTAAACCATATTCATGTCAAATTACCAGATGCAGCTATAATAGACTCTGGTCTTTTTAAATCATTGACCCATAATATTGTCAAGTTACCAGATGCAGCTACAATAGACTCTGGTCTTTTTAAACCATTAAACCATATTCATGTCAAGTTACCAGATGCAGCTACAATAGACTCTGGTCTTTTTAAATCATTGAACCATAATATTGTCAATTTACCAGACTCAGCTACAATAGATTCTGGTCTTCTTAAACCATTGAACCATATTCATGTCAATTTACCAGATTCAGCTACAATAGACTCTGGTATTCTTAAACCATTACACCATATTCATGTCAAATTACCAGATTCAGCTACAATAGACTCTGGTATTCTTAAACCATTACACCATATTCATGTCAATTTACCAGATGCAGCTACAATAGACTCTGGTATTCTTAAACCATTACACCATATTCATGTCAAATTACCAGATGCAGCTACAATAGACTCTGGTCTTCTTAAACTTAGCCTTGGAAACCGACGTTCACTTAAAACGTGTCGAGATTAATTTCATCATCCTTCGCAGAAGTTTTGTTTTTATAATGGAAATTGTAGTGTTGGGCAACAGTTGCAGTTATGGTCATTTAATTGAGTAAAGTCGATGATCGAAGATACAGTTTTAAGGGTATCACGGGTCCTGAATACTGATCTTACAAAGCTTTATTAACTCTCAGTGGCTCACAAAAACACAATACTTACAAAATTAGTAAAGCTTCATGAATACCTAATTGACATATTTCACAGAATATTATTCCAGTATTTACTAACTACCAGAGCTAGGCCGTGAATTGTAAAAAAAACACACCAATAGTTAGACCATTCTTAAAAAAGAAGCCGAATTAAGTTTCGCAAGAGTATTAACTTCGTATTATTTATAATGCTGGTTCATAACAGGGTGTATCCATTAATTACCACATTTGTTAGAAATCTACTTATACTAAAACAGCTCAAAGAAACTTTGAATAACTGCATAAATTATTATCCAACGCATATTAAGGAGATAGAGTGACAATAAGTTGTTTTATTTGACTATAATGGACAAAAGAAATTTGACTTATAAACTATACTCTGGCGTAACTACATAGCTACAGCGTCGAACTTTGACTGATGTTTCAATTAAAAGATATGTTTTCCTGTTTTTGTCATCGAAAGTCAAATTTCAAAAATGTTTTCGGGTTCGATTGCAATTCTGATACCAAAATGCTGTGTCATAGACCCAGCTCTGTCGTTAATGTACCGGTTTCTAGCCGCTATGTGTGTCTGGCATGGCCTGGAAGTCAGGGCAACCTGCGGGTTGCAGATTCGAATCCTTTCACCAAACATGCTCGCTCTTTTATCCGTGGGGGCGTTATAATGTGACGATAAATACCTCTATTCGTTGGTAAAAGAGTACCCGAAGAGTTGGCGGTGGGCGGTTTTAACTAGTTGCCTTATCTTAGTCTATAACTTCAAAAGTAGTTCAATTCTAACCGTTGTGACATATAATATAATATCATAGTTTTAATAAATAATAGCCACACCCTAGGGGTCGTTTGTTTGTTGTTGTTTGTAGTTAAGCACAAAGCTACACAAGAGGCTATTTGTGCTCTGCCTACCATGGGTATTGAGACCCGGTTTCTAGCGTTGTAAGTCCGCAGACATATCGCTGTGCCACTGGGGGGCACGCTAGGGGTCGAACTCATGAAAGTTGCCAAGTACTAAAACATGTTATATCAGTTTCAAAACCCCTGATAAAAGAAACCGTTTTTCTACCAACAGTCATAAAAAAGGATTAATTCTATGATACTAACAAACTCACCTTTTCCGATCCACCCCAGTGGCACAGCGGTATGTCTACGGACTTATACCACTAGCAACCGAGTTTCGATACCCGTGATGGGCAGAGTACAGATAGCCCATAACTACAAATAAACATTTTCCGATATCTCGAAGTCAACACGTTGTGTCTGATGAAATTAGAGTTCACATTCGCATAAAGAAGGTTTTGAATTGTTGACCGATAGACTTTCGCTTCAAAACCACAGATTAAAAGATAGAAAACTACGCATGCGTAAAATTAGGCTTAAAAGGTGTGTGAAACGAGTAAAATGTTTCCGAATCGACAAAATTTTCACATGTACGGTTGTTAAAACATGCAGATCATGTATAGTTGCAAGCAACGCTGCAAGGAAGAGGACAAATTTTAAGCAAGAACGTTCTTAAAGAAAAGCAGTAAAATACTGACTGTTTCTTTGTTAATGTTTTTAATACAAACTACATTCTGGCACCAGAAACTTCATTCAGGCAGCGTAGAATTAAATAAAATATTGGTAATTTGAAAGCTTCCATTTTAAATAAAAAGAAAAATATCAAACTGACGAATTAGAACACGAGGATAATGTAACACTTGATTTTTATTTTATTTAGTTGATACAAATTCGTCCACACGTAACAGAAGATCCTGTAACAGGAGATCTAGTAACAGGAGATCCTGTGTGTTAGATACTATATTATTACGTGTTCCTGTTGGTAATAAATAAAAAGTCGCTTGAAATTTGTATTATACGAATAGGAGTGATCTGTGAGTATTTCTAGTAACAAAAAGACCAGAAAATCGAGAAACAGAGCACTCTTCCGAATAACCTGAAAGTGCTCCAAAGAATTTCATGCCACGTAAATTTGGAGGTGTGAGAAATACCATACAAAACTACTACACACGCCACGTTATTTAGAACATTATGTCACTGACAAATGTCATACAAGCTAAGAAAAAGCTTTGACTCAGGTGTTACTGTAATTACAAGTTATACGAACTTGTAAGCCCCCCAGTGAGTGGCACAGCGGTATGTCTGCGGACTTACAACGCTAGAATCAGGGTTTCGATACCCGTGGTGGGCAGAGCACAGATAACCCATTGTGTAGTTTTGTGTTCAATTGCAAACAAACAAACGAACTTGTAACTGTAAATTAGTTACCTAGTTTCCTAAGTACATATACTCAACATATTGATTCAGCCACAGCGTACAGCTAGAACTAGAATGTTAGATACTCTATACTCTTTATGTTACCTAGTTTCCTAAGTACATATACTCGACATATTGATTCAGCCACAGCGTACAGCTAGAACTAGAATGTTAGATACTCTATACTCTTTATGTTACCTAGTTTCCTAAGTACATATACTCGACATATTGATTCAACCACAGCGTACAGCTAGAACTAGAATGTTAGATACTCTATACTCTTTATGTTACCTAGTTTCCTAAGTACATATACTCGACATATTGATTCAACCACAGCGTACAGCTAGAACTAGAATGTTAGATACTCTATACTCTTTATGTTTGAATTAGAAACACAAAGGTAGCTTCAGACTGAACTGTACGGTAGCGCAAGACACATGATCTCCAGTTATAAAACAACTTCATAAAGTAAACTGCTTTTAACATTCATATTCTGATGGTGCCAAACTTATGGTATTATATGCTTGACATGAAGAAACAACAACCAAATAACTAATTTCTTTGATTATCAGATGCTGAACCAAAATGTACCAGTATTAGTGAAAACTATTACCTAAATCAAACGCTGTGGGCACATAATGTATTCACAATGATTGTCAAAAAGTTAAACCTTTTCAACAATAATTTTTCTTTTATTTCCCTGGTCTATAAAAAAACGACATTTAACTACTAAACCACAGTTTCATTTTTCCAATTCGTTATTTTAAAACGTGCAGCGCTGATATAAGAGCCCCCCCCCCCACACCCAGTGGCACAGCGGTATGTCTGCGGACTTACAACGCTAGAAACCGGGTTTCGATACCCGTGGTGGGCAGAGTACAGATAGCTCATTGTGTAGCTTTGTGCATAACTACAAATAAACAAACTGATATTAGATAACTACGTTCGATTTAACTTATTCAAACAATTACACAGGCCTACAATAGTTTTATTGCCTTGAAATATTTACACGTTCTACAGTACTTCCTGTACGCTGAATCCGAAAAATGATATCCATTTTTCTCTATAACGTACAGATTTTTCACAAAACGTCATAAGTACTTTTACATAAGTGAATCATTTTCATTTAAATCGGGTCACATTTTATTATACTTAAGATGTTAACAACCACTGGCTATAGATTACTCTAGATCAATCGCGACGTGAGAGTCTTATCAATCGTTCTAGAACCCACAATAAGCACACCACTAGTATATAAACGGTTAAAAGGCCGCATGACGTGTCATTTCTAGATAGTATTTATTTGTGTGTGCAGTTTGAAATTTTCTTTTCTTTTAAATATTATTTATTCATCGCTATGGTAACAAGAGGTCGTGTAAATGAACCAAACACATTCTGTTATATTTGTGGTAAATTTGTTGTAAAGAAACAAAGGCAAAACATTACAGAATTCGTCAAAAAAGCGTATTACGCGTATTTGGAATAAAATTTGGGGACCAAGACAAATCATGGGCTCCGCACAAAGTTTGCACCATTTGTGTCGAAGAGTTGAGAAAATGGACTAAAGGTAAAAAAAACAAAAAAACTCTTTGCCTTTTGGAATTCCAATGGTCTGCCGTGATCCTAGAAACCACAGAGATGACTGCCATTTTTTGCTCATGTAAC